ACACACACACACACACACACACACACACACACACACACACACACCACACACACACACACACACACACACACACACACACACACACACACACACACACACACACACACACACACACACACACACACACACACACACACACACACACACACACGCCCAACCTTCGCCGGATGTGAGGCTGACGGTGTTCTCGAGATCATCGAGGATTGGCAGACAATATGTGTCATCCACCTGTGTGCACAGGTTTCCCTCGCCGTTCTCCAGCCCAAGTGCTCCCTTGTATCGCCCTTCAATACTTTGGATCTGGGCGAGGGAGACAGTGGTGTGGGTGGGTACATACACGAAGGTGTGTGAGCGTGATGACACCAAAAACCTCTCTGAAGGAAATCATACATCTGCAATCTACCTGCGAAAGCGCGAAGCCTTCCGTTCACAGCCGAGTTGTTCACAGCACAACCCAAAAATGACGATTGAGGAGGCATGCCCCTAACCTCATTGAAGCAAGGGGTGCAGATGGTGCTGAGGGTTGACGTGCGCTCAGAGACGGAGCGCGAGGTGTCGCGGGCAACGGCAATATCGCTGGCCGCTGCGATGTATCCGGGCTCGCAATACGTGTCGTCCGCCTACTCATTGGAATTGGACGAGTGGTTGGTTGGTGGCGAGGTGAGGAGGTGAGGAGGTGAGGAGGTGAGGAGAGTATACAGGGAGAGGTACCATGTGAAGGAAGGAAGGGAGGAGAGGAGGAAATGCAAGCAACAGCAACGAGCGCGAAACCCATGCAACAAGCAGGAAGAAGAAGAGTGCACAGTGGCACGGGCACAAACAACAGTTGTCGTTCTCTTTTTGAGACGCAGCGAGGATCAGCAGAGCAGCGACTTCAATACCATCACCACCACGCAAACAACGAATACTCGACTGTACAACCGTACAGGCTCCTTCCATTGTCACCTTGCTGCAGAGAAGGTCGAGGTTGCGCTGCAATTCGAGATAGGCGGGCCACGGTCTACAGCCCGCATCTTGCAGCCGCGTTGCAAAGCCCGACAGCTGAGTGAAGCAATCGCCTGAGGAAGAGTGGAGGTTCCGGGGCGGGGAGTACGTGGACATAAAGAAAAGGAGGTACAGTACAGCAACCACATCACATCACATCATCGTCTTGTGAGTCGTTGATGAACCAAACAAGCAAGCAAACAAGCAAGCATGAGGTGCGCTGAAGGCTTGCTGGGTGCACACAAGTGGTACCATTCCCCTCCTGCACACACAAAAGAACGACACCGCTTGCTCCATGCATGCAAGTGGCTGACACTGCATTCGTGGTGCTGCACAAGCACAGTGTACCTGAGCAGATGGCGTGATAGGCTGCTTGGTGGTCCGATGCCGTGAGAGCGCGTGCAGCAGCCATCTCTGCTAGACACTGTTGCCCCTGAGTGGACTGCAAGAAGAAGAGGTACTCAAAGTAGACGGACACGCACTCATCCCGAGGCGGGTTGCACTGACCAACAGTTGGTCGGGATGGAGTAAAAGTGGAAAAAGGGGGGGGGGGGGGCGAGAGTGGAGCAAATAAGAGAGGAAGAATGAGAGGTGTTCGACGCAGGCTTGTCATGCCACCACGTATGATGGAGGTGACCACATTGAAGAGACATTGTGGCATTGAAGTGCGTGCCTGCAGGCAACGCTTGTGGATGGGAACCATGCATGGGTGTTGCTTGCGCTTGCTTGTTTGCTCGTTTGTGTACTTGCATGCAACGAGGCCTTACCTCGCGCTGTTCTGTTTGAATGCGTTGGTAGACGCGATAATCCTCGTCCGTGCTGCTGGTGCACGCCGTTCTGTTGTCGTAGGTCCGCAGGAGCGCATTGATGGCATTGATGCATGAAGCCACACAGAACTGGTGGGGAAGGGGGCGAGAAATAATTGCGTACGACATGGCATATGCATGGATGAGCTTGAGTGAGGGGGGGGGGGTGAAGCAGAAGGATGGGAAAGGACGGAGGGGGAGAGACAGAGACAAAGGGACGAAGAGATAGAGACAGAGGCAGTGAGAGAGACACAGACAGAGACTAAGAGACAGAGGACAGAGACAGGGACAGACAGATAGACACAGACAGACAGATAGACACAGACAGACAGATAGACAGACAGACAGACACACACACACACACACACACACACACACACACACACACACACACACACACACACACACACACACACACACACACACACACACACACACACACACACACACACACACACACACGTACGCACAGCTACGTGTGGCTTACGCTTTCGCTTCCGCCATGAAACGAGTCGCCTCGCGCAAGGACTTCCAGGCGAGAGGTGCCGCACGCTGTCTCCGCAGCGGCTACTGCTGCGTCTGCTGCCTGCATGAACTCATCGCATCCACCTGGGGCCGCCGTGGTGGAGGACGCAGCAGCAGCAGCCTGGTGCTGCAGTGGCTGCTGAAGGCACAGCACCACCACCACCACAAGCGCGAGTAGCTTCCCCAACACAGCCATCATCATTGTCCTTGTTGTTGTTTGTTTGTTTGTTTGTTGTTTGTGTGGCTTGTGGGTTGGTATGGGGGAAAAACAACACGCGATTTGCTGTGGGGTTGTATGTTGTTGTGTTGGTTCAAGACCTGCACTGCTCTCTTTTCCGCACTCACATACACCACACTGCACAGTAAGTACATGCTGTGTACTCGTTGTGTTCTCTTTACTCTTGGACGCAATGAAAACAAACAAGGAATGGGACGCACGCACACTCACAACACACGGTCACAACAGGGGATGGAAGCGGAGGAGGAAGCAAGCAGTGAAATCACACATGTACATCACACATGCGCCACATACACACATGCGCCACATACACACACACATACACACACATACACACACATGTCATTTCACCCGCCGCCACACATGCGGTGGGATCATCAGAGTACGTCACACTTCACCTCTGGCATGCTGATGAACTTCTCAAGAACATCGCAGAGCGAGATGACACGGTAGGGGTGGTTCTTCTCATCGCACAGATAGATGCGGTGGATCTTGGCTGCCGCAAGCCTCTGCATGCCTGCAGGCAATGGTGGCGGGTGGCGTGTGGGCTTGCGGGCCGTGCTGATGGCCTCCGCGCTGCTGGTGGTCTTTCTTCTCAATGAACTGTGTTGTCGGGAGGTGCAGCAGGTGCAGCTTGTTCGGCACAGAGACAATGAAGTAGATGTCGCGTGCGCTGATGTTGCCCACAATGGCACCCTCGGCACCCATCACAGGAACGCCAGAGATGTTCTGCAAGGCGGTGCGTGTGTGCGTGTGTGTGTGTGTGTGTGTGTGTGTGTGTGTGTGTGTGTGTGTGTGTGTGTGTGTGTGTGTGTGTGTGTGTGTGTGTGTGTGCACATGTGCGTGTGGTTGGGTACTGACTGACAAGACAAAGAGGAAAGAGTCCGCTTGAACCTTGAAGTGAACCAGTTCTTGTTTCTCAACACCCGCCCCCCCCCTCCCTCGAACTCCAATCTGCAGCGTGCTGCAACTGGGACAAGTGACCGATTCAAACTTTTATCGCTGGTCTGTCATCAAGCGATTGCTCCAGGATGATCAACGGAAACGTGGCGTGAGTAGAAGGACCAACCTTTGTATGTTTGCGTGCCTGCCTGCCTGCCTGCCTGCTTGCCTGCTTGCTTGCTTGCTTGCTTACATGTACATTCTGTTCTGGCTGGTCATCACACACACGGCAAAAGTCCACAGCTCACATGCACACCCACATGCACACATGCACACATGCACACATGCACACATGCACACATGCACACATGCACAAACGTGCACTTCCCTCTTTCTGCAGGGCAAAGACCCGTTTGTAGTGTTAGAGTATGGCTCGAATCTAGGCTCGATTAGTATTCCTCTTGCCTCCACCTTTCCCCTTGCCACCGTCATTTCCGTGGAGAGCGGGGACGTGGATCCTGCCCAACGGCATAGCCTGCCTTATGAAGTCAAGGTCAGGGTTGAAATGTGGGTTGTCTTTGGCCCTTGTCCCATTCACACACACACACACACAGAGGCACACGCACACACACAGGCACACACACACACACACGCACCCCGCAGCCAAGCCTCACATGCCAACCATGTGTGACAAACGCTTGCACTGTCCATGACACAGGTGATGGGCAAGGTGAAATTCCATGAGCAGGTGCTCACCACACTAGGTGTAGACAACAATGCCGTGTGTAAGGCCAGCGTAAGCATGGCGATGCTCCAGCGGCTGCAAACTGCGCGCGTGCGCTTTGACTTTCAGCTGCTGCTGGATTTCGTCCACCATATCGATGCGGACTCCTTTGAGGAGTTGTCTGCGTTTCTGCGCGCCCTCGTGCCCCTCGCTCGTGTCACAGTCATCGAAATCCCACGCGTTGACGCGTACGTCTGCCCGTTGTGTGCTTGTGTGTGCGTGCTTGTGTGTGCATGTGTGAGAGAGAGAGTGTGTGTGGGTGTGTGCTTGCGTGTGTGAGTGGGTGTTTGCGTGTGCGTGTGAGTGGGTGTGTACGTACCATGTGTGTATTTCTGCATCTAGGTGTGCTCGCGTCCTCTGCATCTGTGTGTGTGTGTGTCTCTCGCGACCTGCCTTTCAAGACCTTTGCATGTCATTCACACCTGTTTGTCATGAACGCATCTGTTTTCACTCCCGTCCTTGCTGCCTCTGATAGCGATGCTGCTGACGCGAATGCATGGTTCTCAAAAGGATCAGCCATTCAGGTAATTGAAACCCAGCACCATGTGCACGCATGAAGCGCCTGTCGTTCCGCGATACACACACGCACGCACACACACACACACATACACATACACACACATACACATGCCCACACGCACACACGCACACATCACGAGCAACACGGTGTAACCTCCAGTGTCCTTAGTATCTGTAGGTCTGTGCTTTCACCCAAATGTCAATGCTTAGGACCATTGTTGCCGCTGTGCTCGTCCCCCCCCCCCGTCTCAGCGCGAATCCTCACCAACACTCGCCATGTTTCTTCTTGCCCTCCTTCGTTGTCGTGTGCGTGTGCCCAGACGGTGCGTGAGGCGCTTTCGTTGCTTCCGTACACACGCGTGGACTCGCTTGTCGGTGGGCGTCAGACAATCCAGCTGATCGCTATCGAGAACACGGCTGTCAGCGAAGGGCTCGCCCTTGCACCCGGTCACGCTTTCTGCCAGCAGGCTTTTGACGTGCTGCGGTGCGAGAACGAATTGCAATCAGCGTGGTGTCCAGGCACTGCTGGCGCCAACGCCCAGCAAGGCGGAGGGGGCGGTGGTCGTGGTGCTGTAAACCTCCGCCCTGACGCAATCAGACACGGGGGAAGCAAGCAGCAACAACAACAGGAGCAGGAGAGCAAGAGCAAGGTGACCACGACAACGACAACAACCCGTCGTCGTCCCACTACAACCAAGAAGTACGTCAAGCTGTGATGCGAGGCGCGGAGAGGAGAGAGAGGAGGACATGGGCCAAATGTCGCCTGCCCTTGTTGACATGAGTGCCTGCATGCAAAGCGCAGAATTCAGGACCACACACGTCACTTGTAATTGCTGAGGTGGTTGCGTGTTGAGCAGAGAACCTACTGAATTGCTTGAAACTCACAGGCTTACCACGCACCACGAATGCACGTGCCTTGCTCCTCCTCCTCCTCCTTGCCCGCCTGTCCCCCTTGACCTGGTTTTATCATTGCGCAGAGTATTGAAACGCATTCCCACCAGCGCGTGCGGGCGACGCCAAGGGATGGTGGTTGAACTGGTACGATGGACCTATGGACTTTGTTGTTATTGTAGTGTGGAAGTGTGATAGCGTGAGAGTAGTGAGAGTGTGGTCGTGCTGTTCTGTTGTGGGTTGTGCCAGGATGTCGCTGACAGCTCTCCGATTCCTTCTTCCTTGGTTTTGTGTCTCCGTGTCACCGAATCACAGATTCCCGAGTGCAGAACGCAGCGGCCACAATCTGAATGGACCTGGGAGAACGACGGCTGGTACAAGTGCAGGTGCGTCGCATGTGTGTTTGTGTTTCTGTGTGTGTTTGTGTTTCTGTGTGTGTGTGTGTGTGTGTGTGTGTGTGTGTGTGTGTGTGTGTGTGTGTGTGTGTGTGTTGTGTGTGTGTGTGTG